TGATAAAATCAAGGTTTCAGTTCTCACTTTCTAAATGTGCTCTATACTGAAAAAAAGCACCCCTTCCCTGTCACGGGATGGTAATTTAACTCCCACACAATCCACTTCAGAATTTCATGACCTCACAAATATCTTCAGGAGGATCAGGCCAAAAATCTGATAGGCTCTGCATAAAATAAAATGATACAATGTTGGTGAAAAGCATCTTAAAAAAAAAAAGCTCACTGAACCAAACAACATTTTCATCTTCTTATATAAAGGTCAGTATATTTTCTGCCAAAGTTTCTACATAAATAAATCAGATTCTAAACTGAACAGAATCAAAAATTGCCCAGAGTAGGAAGAAAAAATAAAAATCTAGCATTAGCTAGAGATATACTTAAAAGGAACCAATTTAGCCATTTAAAACTACAAGGGTTAGAGGAGTACCAGGATTCCGGATGTCTCCTGTTTGTAATAACAACAAATATGATCAACTCTCCTTAAAAGGAAACTTTAAGTTTAAAGAGGACTAGACTTATCAATTTGTTCATAATGCTACTTAGAGACAACATTCATTCATTAATTACCATGGAGGATGTTAAACGAATGTTCATTATTTTGAAAATTGATAAAGGGAAAGACAAGTATGTATCTATTCTACACAATCTATATGTCAGTATAAGAAACAAAGGAAAGCTTTTCTGTATAGAAGTATTCTAGCTAATAAATAATGAAAGAACAGCAAATTTGAAATGGTATCTTTTTGTAACCCTTAATGAATCAATGGACCTATGCAGTGGACATGTGTGGCTGTTAATATCAAAAAGCAGAGACAAGAAAATATGTGTCTTCTGATGGAAATGCATAACACTTTCTGTGAGATAGAATCGCCAAACAAATTATACATAAATTTGATCAAGCCTCTAAATCTAGCTACCAATTTACATAAAATAGTGTTAAAAAACTAAGATTAACTCTACAGGACAAATGACCTAGTTTTTTTCAACCAAAAATAAAAGGAAAAAAGACCCAAATAAGAACTGTATAGATTAAAAAAGACTTGCGACTTAAGAGACATGCCACCCAGTTACAATGTATTGATTCTTCAAACTATAAAAAGAAGAATGAAAGTGTAAAAGAAGAAAAAGAAAACTTATAAAGCAATTGGGCAGGTATAGATACTAAAGTCAAGGATGCTGTGATAATACTAAACCAAGTAGGAATAGAAAAAAATTATCTGAACATAATACAGGCCATAAATGTAAAGCCACCCGCTAATGTCACAATAATGGAAAACTGAAGAATTTTTCTCCAAGTTTAGGAATAAGTCATGGATGCCCACTCACTACCTTCAGGAACATAGTGCTGGAAGTTCTAGCCAGAAAAATTAGGCAAGAATAAGTAATAAAAGACATCTGTATTGGAAAGGAGACAAAAGAAATTGGAAAGGAGACAAAAAATTATCTCTATTTAGGTTGACATGATCTTATATGAGGAAAACTATAATAAAAAAAATTGCTAAAAGTAAATTTAGCAAATTTACAAGATTAAAAAGCCAACACAAAAAAATCAAAAGCATTTCTATATATTAAGAATGAATAATCAGAAAAGAGAATAACAGTCCCATTTACAATAGCATCAAAAGTAAAATATTGATATTAACAAATGACTTAATTTTTAAAATTGTATTATAATTAGGTTTTTAAAGTCCCTTTCTTTTAGAAGTACATGTTAAAATATTTACATGTGAATATTTGGGCCTCCCCTGGTGGCGCAGTGGTTGAGCGCTGGGCTGTGAAGCTGCCCGCAGCCTCTGCAGCGCCGGTTCGATCCCCGGCCACTGGTGAGGGTCCCACATGGTGCGCAGACCTCTCCTGTTGTGCCCACTGCTCCCCTCAGCAGTGTATTTCATCACTCTGCCTGTTCTGTTCCCCGCTCTGGCTCTGGTGAGTCCTCTCACCCTCCCGCGCTTCTGACTGTACCCAGTGCTTGTATAAATAAATAAATAAATCTTTAAAAAAAAAAAAAAAGAAATATTCATTGTTTAAGATTTGCTTCAGAATGAACTGAATAACCAGGGGAGATGGATTTGACTGTAAATGAAACAAGACTGACCAAGTTGATAATGAATAATGGGGTAATGGACACTATAAATGGCCAAACCTAATCTTCACTGGCATCCCAGAAAGTCAAACTCTGAAGCACAAGAATGTCTTCACACAAAGGAATTTATTATACAAGATCACCACTGAGGTAGTGGTCAGGGCTAATACCCTAAAAGAAGCAGCTTCCCTGAATGGCTGGGGTTCTGTGATTTAATAAGTTTAACCCCAAAATTAAAATAATAAAGAAATAAATGGAGCAGAGAGAGGAATGTAAGGAGGTTTGGGGACATGAAAGGAGTGTGGGTCTTCATTCAACCTCTTTAGTAGCTTTCTATTGAGGTTAACAGCCCCATAAAGACCAGCAGTGCCCTGGTGTTACCTACCAATTTTGGACTGGCACAGAGAATTTTGCTAGAGATGGAACAAGCTTCTGGGGAATGCAGATGGAGAATAAATCACATGGGTGGGAGTGGTGAAGAAGAGGGGAAAACAAAAGTGTGTAATTTTGCTTAGTTTCACTTTTCTAACAAAAAGTTTAACTACAGCTTGGAGGGGATCCTGCTTCGTACCATGGGCTTCATTAAATTATTTTCTATATTTGAAATATTCTGTAATAAAAAGAAAGAAATGATGGAATAAGGGTTAGTCCTACAAATTATAATTGAGAAAACAGGATATCTCCACACTTCTGGTTTTTAATCAAGCATTGTTTGTTATTAATGTTTCCTTAAAAATGGACACAGCTGTATATTTAGACCTATATTCTATGTCACTACCTTGACCAATATAAAAAAATTAAGTCGATTTCCATTCCCCTATTACCTACAATAGATGAGTTTTTTACTACTTCAAGTAAATTTTGGATGAAAATAATGCTACTTCACGGCCAAGGCTAAGTCATGAAAGCAATACAACTGGTCCTACTTCTCTCTCTAAGGATATTCATTTCTTTGATCTCAGTCATCAAGCTATGAGGAAGGTCAGACAACAAATGTGGCATGTGTAGGTTTTCTGGCCATTAGTCTCAACTAAGGTCTCAACCAATAACTAACCTCAACTGTGATGTGAATGAAACAACCTCCAGATGATTCCAGTCCCCAACCTTTTGAGTCTTCCAACTAAGGTCCCCATATCAGGGGACAGAGACAACCGTCCCCACTCTACAATGGTCAAATTTCTAACCCACAGAACCCTTCTCATCAAAAATAGTTTTTTAATGACACTAAGTTTCAGGGTAATTTGTCATACAGTCACAGTAACTGGATGAAGGATATTTGTATTTAGAATTAGGTCTTCATTCACCCGAAGCAAAATGCTAAAAAAATCTGTTTGCCATGAATTCATATCTCTTGACCTAATCCAGTTCCATCCCTGGGAACTGAGAGAATTTATAAATGATGTCACTGCCAACTTGGCAATGATTTTAAATAACTGAAGGGACAGAAAAGTCCCCATAAGGCCTGGAGGCTGTCAATTCTGGAAATCATATGTAGTGCTGGTGATGAGTAAGATTCCCCATCATATTTTCAAAATGTTTTGTTCATGAATATCCCATAAAATGAAACAGTGCTATTTGTCAAGCAGCATGAATTCACTAAGAACAATTTGTATTAAGCAAGCTCTATTTACAGGGTTGCTAGACTAAGAAATCTGAAAAAATGTGATATAGAGATGATAGTCTCATATTTTATCCATTGTAAGCCATCGCCAATTCTAAGTTATACATTTTTAAAATGCCAGTTATAATTTTGTGATACATGCACTATCAAAATATAAAGTGTTTCTTATTACTTAGAATTTTCATTTTATTCTTACTAAAAGTGCTGTTTTAGATGTTTTAGACATATTTCCATTATATGTCAGTCTTTGGTTACATAAAAATGTAAATATACATTTTCTGTGAGCTATGTATGCATTGTTATGTAATAAATCTTTAGAACTTTATCTTGCCAATCTAAAACTCTACTCACTGAACAACAACCCCTATTCTCCCACTATCCTCCCCCAGCAACATTCTACTTTGTTTATAAAAGTTTGATTACTTTAGAGACCTCATATAAATGTATTCATGAAGAATTTGTCTTTTTGTGACAGGCTTATTTCACTTACTATAGAGCAGAAAATTTTTGAATCAATGACATACCGTTATTTTGCATCCCTGTTTGTTTGCTCACAATATAGAGTGGGTCACCTTAGTTTTCCCACTACCAAAGCACCCATAGTCCTCCACCATAGACCATTATGCTCTCCTTCCTCCTTTTTTCTTCAAACTTCTCTCTTTTCCCCCTCCCTCTTCCTAGATGCCTCAGATCTATGGTCAACTTTCAAGGGCCTTTTAAAGTTTGTATTTGCCTGGCCCTTTGTTTGGTTTCTGTCTATTCCACATATAAGTAAAACCATCCAGTATTTATCTTTCTCTTTTTGGTTCACTTCACTTAGTATAGTTGCTTCGAGTTCCATCCATGTTACCATAAATGGCATGAGTTTACCTTGTTTGATTGCTGAGTAGTATTTCATTGTATGTATATACTACATCTTCTTGATTCACTTGTCTGTGGTAGTCATATGTGGCAGTAAAGTACCAAACAAACAGATGAACTAAATAAACTTTTAGATGATAAGACCAAATTAGTGGTTGCCAGTATGAAAGGGGAAATAGGGGTAAATCAAGGAAAATGGGTAACTGTAGTAGCATAGAAGATACACATCTTGAATCTCAATGATGCATATAATAATACTACAGTGTAATGATGCATGTACATTATAGTGCAATTATAGTTCAATAAAATTAAAATAATTTTTTAAAATAATTTTTTGGCTGAGATAATTAACTAAACATCCCTTTACATTATACATAGAATAACTGTGAGACAAATGGATTTACTGAGTGTTTCTTTTCCTTTGGGGCTTTAGGCATTAGGATTTTTGTCTTCTTATGGAATAGGGATGGAATATAATCAAGCAAAGGTAAGGTCATTCATTTTTTTCTAGACCAAAACTGAACTATTAACAAGGAACACCAAATAGCGAATTTAGTCTTTAGATAAAGGGGGTCACTCCAATGTGGTGTTTAGAGCAATAGCTCAATAGCTATAGAAGTTTAGAGATAAAATACTATAAATTCCTTAACACATCACTTCTGGTCCTTCACTATAGAAAGAAAATATCTGCCTCTTAAGGACTGTGTGATGATTAAATGAAATATCATCAATAATGCCCTTTTCATAGCCTCCAGGGCTCACTAATCTTTCTCCCAGATGGCAACCATCTTTACAGAGAAAAAGAAGGAAATTTGGAATTTGTTTTGGAGTAATTTAAGGTTCATTGCCTAACTAGGGACTAAAAAGCAGTGATTCATTTGAGTTTCAAATTTAGATGACTAATATAATTTCTTTTCTACTCTAGGCACTGATATATTATACCTTTGGAAGTGCAGGGGGAAGCATGATATCCCAGATGATTTTGGTTTGTAAATTAAATACTCCTGGACCCAAATAGGTATGTTATAAATACAGCATTGTCAGATATTAATAATATATATTCCTATGTTTTAGGGGTACAGATATTTGTCAGGAATCAATGTTCTACAGAATTGTGAAGTTGCCCTAAATCATTACAAGACAGTGGCAGATTATAGTAAGTAATCCTCATAATTTAAGATAAACAGACTTGCAAAGCAATTAAAAATGTAAATAATTCCATTTAACATATTTATGAAAGTATTAAAAGACTATGCTTTAACATCTGTTATAATAAAAATCTTTTATTATAATACAAAGTTTCTGGATTTTAGTGGTTTCTTAGTTTCAAATGATTGTAATCATCTTTAATTTTTGTTGTAATATGTTCCCAAACAATTCTGTTTTACTTGTTCATGTGATATTCTTCCCTTACACTGAAAATCTGAATTTAACATCAATAAATATTAAAGTTTCCCTAATCCTAATGTTCAGAATATGAGACAACTTGTTTAAAAGTTCTAAAGAAATGGAAGGTACACACATTGTCTCTATCACTGCACTTGAGAACAGGTTAAGAAGTCATTGTTATCATATCCCTTGTCTATAAAAAATAAAGCATGAAATAAATGTGTTTCTAGGATTATTTTCAAAGTTGTATGTAACATTCCCTCTTGTAAAAACACTGAACTAGAGTTTTAAATGAAAGTTTTTCAATAAGTGGATAACTTTATCCACTTACAACTTTATCCATTCAGCTATTGTCTATATTCAGAATTAACAACAAAATAGGGCCTCCTTTGGTGGCACAGGTGGTTGAGTGCAGCCCTGTGAAGCTGTTTGCAGCCTCTGCAGTGCTGGTTCAATCCCAGCTGGCCGGCACACCTCTTCTGTCTCGCCTGCTGCTCCCCTCAGTAGTGTATTTTGTCAATCTGCCTGTTCTGTTCCCCGCTCTGTCTGTGGTGAATCCTCTCACCCTCCTGTGCATCTGGCCTGTACCCCAGTTCTTGTATAAATATATAACTAAATCTTTAAAAAAATACATACTTTTGGCATTATTAGAATATGAGAGAAGAATGAGGAAAAAAACTTGTATTTATTATATATATTAAACTTTTGAATTTATTATCTATATAAATATTATATATATATAAAACAAGATCATTTCATATGTATAATGAAACTGGAATTAGAATGTGGTTAAAACTGCATACTCTATTAGGTTTATTCAAGCATATTTATCCTTAACGTTTATTTTTAGTCTATCCGTAGGGAGTAATTAAGGATCAGGTTTGCTCATATGGTAGTTTCATTCCTGGAAAAAAGTCAGTGGTAGAGGAGGAGGCTGGTTGCCTGCTCCTAAAGTCTGTCTCTTTTTTGAGCTTGCTTGGTCGAAATCTCCAGGAGGGTCTGATATATATTGGTACAATATTTATGTGGATTGCAAATAATTTGGTTTCTTGCATTTCTCAGAACCAAATAAAAAAAAATCAGCAAATTTCTGATATCCTAAAGATATTTCCTTTCTTAATAGACCAGATTTCTGCACAACTGAAGGAAACTAGGCCTAATAGTCCTTTGCCTACATGACTGTTAGCTCTTGCAACCTTGTACATTCTGACTATTCTGTGGCTTGTTTCTCTTCACAGTTGCTGACAAATTAGAAAAAAGTGAAGGTATTCCAGTGGAAAAAGTAAGACTAACTGAAAGACCTGAAAATCTGAGCTCTAACAATGAAATTTTGGATTGGGACATATACCAGTACTATAAATTTTTGGCAGAAAGAGGAGATGTTCAGATACAAGTATGTATACAGACAAATTTAAATGTTTAAAACATGCACTATATAAGGGATTTGGTTCTGAGCCCCAGAAATAATGCCCCATCTTAAATGATAAAGGGAAGAGACATGCCCTTCTCTTTGTACTACTCTTTTTTTTGTTTGTCTCCTGCATTTGCAGTTCTTGTGGCTTATGGAAGAGGCAGTTGCCATAGTAATGGCAAATTATTTTTGCATTTACTACATAAAATTTCATTTTAAGAAACCTATATTTTAATTATAGAAAAAATGTAACATTCAACATTGGCTTTAATATGAATGAGTTCTAACCAGGTTCCAGAAGTATTCTATTTTTGAGACTGTGAATGAGACATTTGTATAACCTTTGAGAGCCAAGAGTTAAGCCCTGGGGTTTATGTGCCCAGGTGTTGCTGTACACCAGCAGACGATCATCCTGACATTGAGAAGTCCATATGCCCAGAATCAACCAATTACCCATTGAAAGACATAGTCTGGAAGATTTTTCTACTTCTTTTTTAAGATATGCCAACCACATTAAACTGGCTCAACATACTATATTAAAATCACCAAGTAAAGTTTTCTTTGTCTTTCTTCTTTCTTTTTTAACTGATTTATTTTTAATTGAGATATTTTGAGGTCCCCATCAGGTAATACCACCTAGTGCACCCACCACCAAATCACCCATACTCCATCACCATAGTCCATTGTACTTTCTTCCTTCTTTGTTCTTACGCCTCCCCCCAAACCCTTCCCCCCTTGGTGTCACATTTCTGTAGTCAGCTATCGAGGGTTAGTTTTTAAGCTTGTCAGCTTGTCTTTATCTGATCTTAGTTTAGTTCTCTATATTCCACATATTAGTGACACCATTCAATATTTGTCTTTCTATTTCTGACTTATTTCACTTAGCATTATCCCTTCAAGCTCCATACAAGGTGATATAAATGTCATTTTCTGATTATTGAGTAATAATATTCCTGTGTGTGTTTGTGTGTGTGTGTGTGTGTGTGTGTATACACTGCATCTTCTTATAATCAGCTCTTTGGGGGCATTTAAGTTGTTTCCATAATTAACCTATAGTAAATAGCACTGTAATAAACATGGAAGTGGAACTTTCCTTTCAAATAAGTGTTTTTTTTTCAGTTTTTAGGGGTAGATGCCTAGGAGTGGAATTACTGGGTCAAAGATCAATGTTTAACATTTTGAGATGCCTCCCTTCTGCCTTCCATAAGGGCTAGAGCAGTTTGCATTCCCACCAGCAGTGTAGAAGGGTTACAATGTCTCCACATCCTCGCCAGCACTTGTTGGGTCTGGCCTTTTCAATATGGGCCATTCTCAGAGGTGTGAGATGGTATCTCATTGTGGTCTTGAATTGCATTTCCATGTGCCTACTGGCAATTGGAGTGTCTTCTTTGGAGAAGTATTTGTTTAGTTCTTCTACCCACTTTTTGATTTTTTTGGTTTTGTAGAGTCTTTTGAGTTCTTTATATTTTTTTTATTCATCCTTTTTCAGATGTATGGCATACAGATATTTTTCCTATTCAGTAAGGTATATTTTCTTTTTAGTTATGGTTTCTTTTGCTGTACAGAAGCTTTTATAGTTTGATGTAGTCCTGGTTGTTTATGTTCTCTTTTGCTTACCTTGCTATTGGGGATGGCACCAAGAAAATTTAAGTCATGAAATGTTTTTGCATATGTTTTTTTCTATGTATTTTATCATTTCAGGTTTTATAACCAAGACTTTTATCCATTTTGAATTGATTTTTGTGTATGATATAAGATAGTAGTTTAGTTTCATCCTTCCTGAGTTGTACTATTCCCTTGAGGACTCATGTTGCCATTTGTTGGGTCATTCCTTATTCACATTATTAGCTTTGGGACCCAGCTGCTCTATGTGAGGCTTCTAGTCATGGCTCCTCCCCCTTCATTGGTTAAGGGTCTCCTCTGTCTAGGCAGCTGCTAGAGTCTCACTGGAGGTCAAGAGGACTCTGGCTGCTCTGGCACCCTCCCCAGTACAGGTCCAGGGTCTCACTAGTGGGAGGGGGGTCCTCTCTTTTCTTAATTTGAGTTAATACTACTGTTAAAGTCATTTTCAAAACTAATCATTTCTAGGTATCTCTTGGACAATTACATCTAATTGGGAGGAAAGGCCTTGATCAAGATTACTACGTGAGTCAATCCAGATTTGCTCATGTGGGGTGGGGAGAAAAATGGTGAAGAGAGGCTGATGAACATGTAAAAGGGGATAGGGTTTGTGGAAGAGTTGCTGAGGGAAGCTCACTACTGCTTTCTTAGTCACATTTGCTTCTGAGCTTTTGAGGAGGAACAAAGTTCACCAGATGGAGCATTTTTAAAGGGGATACTCCTGAAGAAACAGTTGGTAGAGGGAAGTTTCCATGGTCCCATTTAACCAAACCTCTTTCCACTGCAACTTACTGTTTGAATAAAATTAGATGAGAAACATAGCCCCACCTGCTGGGACATACCCATTCCCCAAAGGTCAGCTGTGGAAAATCCAACTGGGACTTTCTGCTAGAAACATGAGCACCAGCCTCAGCCCCATTTGGCTAAATCATAAGATAGGCTGCTTTCAATATAATTAGAAGTATGATTAAGCATTTTTATAAATTTGCAAAACTCCTTTCAATGACTTTGCTTAACTTACCTTATCCCAGTGTGGTTAGAAGATTAATTAACAATTCAAACTTATAGTGGAGAAAAAGCAAATAAACTTGACCTACACAGGATCCTCCTCAGTAAGATGCTAGAGCCCTGGATATGGTCTTGTCTAAATTTGATTGTGGTTTCAAAACCCTGTGTCTCTAGAGATCCGGTGAAGTAACTGGAAATCTTTTTAAGAGGTATTTTGCAGCCCTTGTCATTTTATAGGAACCATGTGCTATTTCTCTCAAACCCTACTTCACATACCCTAATTCAACATAGTCCTCATGGACTATGCAATAAAAATAACTACTTTATACAATGGCTACATAAAAAAGTGATCTATTACTACTTTCTGTTTCCATTTCCACTGTTATTTTATAAATGTGTCTTTGGTACTGTAGTTTGTATTTTATATGAGGTATAGTAAACAATCAAATTTAGCAAAGGTAATAAAATGTGATAAAATAAGCAGCACTTGAAATAAGCCTAGGCTTCCCAAGACAGATCAATTGAAGGTCTTCAGATTATTTTCTATCCTCATCAAAACTAAGATTTTAGCTTCTCAGGAAGGTGGTGGATTTATAATATTACTCAAATGTCAGATTTTAGCCTGTGGTGGACTGCTCTACCAACCATAGGATGCATAACTGAGATGAATTCCCCATTTCCACAAATTTTATTGTGAAGGCACCCAAAGTTCAGCTATCAGGAATATCCAGTAATCTTAGTAGGGCACATAAAACCCCACAGACTTAAGTACTACTGGTCAGTTCTAGCTACCGTGGATACCTGATGGGAGCTGTAACTGCCTCCAGGTGAAGATGAATGCAATCCCAAGGCCACCACTGATGGACTCTGGTGCTTTATTAGCAACAATTTATCATTTGGGAATGCGCAGGACTCTTAGTCAGGGTTCCCTGTAAACTCATTCACAGAGGTTTTATTATCTCTGTTTTACAAATGAGAAGCTGAGGCTAAGAGATGAATTAACTTGCTTCAAGTCTTATAGCGATGAAAAAGCTATATTAAAAATATAGCCTTTAAGGGCCTCCCTGGTGGCGCAAGGGTTAAGATGCAACCTATGAAGCAATCCGCGGCCACTGCAGCAGGAGTTCAATTCCCGGCCAGCCAGGGAGCAACCCACATGGCGCAGTAGACCTCTCCTGACTCACCCGCTGCTCCCTCAGCAGTGTATTTCAGTCATTCTGCCTGTTCTGCTCCCCACTCTGTCTCTGGTGAATCCTCTCACCCCACACCTCTGGCCAGCTCTTGTATACATAAATAAATTTTTAAAATATAGCCTTTAAAATTAATTAATTAAATTTCTTTCTTACATCATTGTAGTCCCCATAGATCTCCCGCCACCATATCATCTGTGACCCATCACCGTGTTCCCTTGTGTTTAATCCTTCCCTTGTTTTACTTCCTTTCCTTCCCCCTCCTTTGCTGTATGGCTTAATTCTATGGTCAGTTTGCTAGTTTTGACTTTTTTCTTGACCTTTTGTTTAGTTTCTCTATATTCCACATGTAAGTAAGGCCATCAGTATTTATCTTATTAACTGACTCATTTCAGCCAGCATAATTCACTCCAGTTCCACCTATGTTACTGCAAAATGGTATGAGTTTGTCTTTTTGATTATTGATTAATATTCCATTGTATTAATATACCACAACTTTTTGATCCATTTGTCTATTTGGAGGCATTTGGGTTGTTTCCATATCTTGGCTATTGTAAATAGTTCCGGAATAAACATAGTTTGTTCCAGTGCAGGTTTCCTTTCAAATTAATGTTTTTGTGTCCTTTGGGTAGATTCCTAGGAGTGGAATCACTGGGTCATATGGTAGATCCATTTTAGTGTTCTGAGAAACCGCACAGTTTTCTATAGTAGCTGGACCAATTTACATTCCCATCAGTAGTGTAAGAGGGTTCATTTATCTCCACAACCTCTCCAGCATTTGTTGTCAAGTTTTTTTAATGTGGACCATTATTACTGGAGTTAGTGGTATCTCATTTTGGTTTTAATCTGCATTTCCTTGATAACTAGTGATGTTGAATAAGGCTTTTAGAATTTGAACACAGGGTTTCAGCATTCAAAACCTGTGTTTTTTCCATTAAACTTACTTGCTTTTGACCTGAGTCAAAAAAATACAACTTCCAAAATCTACTTTCCTTTCTTATAAAACAAGAAGGACTAACGTAATATACCAGTTTGCTTCAGCTGTAATTTTCTGCTGATGAGTTTAGCCCCATGCTTCCCATCCAGATATCCAAAAAGGCTGATTTAATTCCTGAACTGTCCCAGTATTTCAGGTACATTCTGGAGCAAACCCAGGGTGGTCATTTCTGCTTTATTTTGCCTGAAAATCTAGGACTTGCATGGAGGGTTTCAGTCAAGATCTCAAACTTGCAGATTGATTGACTAATGTATCAGTTAGTTCAGGTTGCAACACAAACCATTCCCAGAATTTGGCTTTAAAACAACCACCATTTCTTTAATTCATGATTTTAGGAGATCAACAGTTTGGACTGGGTTCAGCTAAGTAATTCTGCTCTGGATCAAGTTAATCTTGATTTTTGCTGGGTTTGCACATGCATCTGTAGTTAGTGAAGCGTATTGACAAGAGCTGACTGGTTTATGATGGCTTAATCTGTGACAACTAGGACAACTGGGTTGCACCACATGCTCTCATCCTCTAGCCAACTATTCCAAGATTTTCATGTGGCACCCAAAGATTCTAAGAATACCAGAAAACTCACTACTCTTGAGGCCTAGGTTCAGAACTCACAAATTACTTCTGCCACATTCTTTTGGTCAAAATAGGTCATAAAGGGCATCCCTGGTGGTGCAGGCAGTTGAGCGCAGCGCTGTGAAGCTGTCCACAGCCTCTGCAGTGCGGGTTCAATCCCTGCCGGCCAGGAAGATACCCACATGGCATGGCAGACCTCTCCTGTTTCGCCCACTGCTCCCCTCACCAGTGCATTTCAGTCTGCCTGCCTGTTCTGTTCTCCACTCTGTCTCTAGTAAATCCTCTCAGCCTCCCGTGCATCTAGCTTGTACCATGGTTCTTGTATGCATGAATAAATAAATCTTTTTTTTTTTTTTTTTTAAAAAAAAGGTCATGAAGTCAGCCAGCCTTTCAGGGGTAGGAAAAAAGCACATCTTGCCTAGGCAGAACTGCAAAGTGTGTGGTCGTTTTTGTAACTTACCATACCTAGTTGTACCAGAATCAACTTGGAGTGGTACGGAGATACAAACGAGAGAGAGAAGATAGGAGGATAAAACCGATTTCTGAAAGACTCTTACTACAGCTCTTCCTATGGCTAGCTTCTCATCCTTCACGTTTCACCTTCTCAGAGAGGATTTTCTTGATCTGCTCCTCTTTCATCACTTTTATGCTGTGTTTATTTCCTCTAACCTGAGTCACTCCTGCACAATATAATATATTGCTTACTGTCTATCTCCCCCAATAGAATGTATGTTCTTATCTATCTTGCTCACTACTCAGATTAGTACCTGGAACATATTAGGTACTAATTGATGATAGCATCCTGAACATATACATTGCACCTCACTCTAAGACCCACCACTTGAGTTACTATACTAATGCCTCATTCCTTCAAAGAAAATTACTAGGGTAGTCTCTTTAAAAATGTGATTCCCCATGTATTGCCCAGCAAATTAATTATCAAAATACTTAGAAATAACTACCTTGGCTTTTTTTCTCTCTTCTTACTGAATTAATCTCTCCCATGAATTGAAACCACAGGCAACATTTTCACCTCACTCTCCTCTCACCAAATTCTTACTTACTAAAAGTATTGCATATGCAATTCCTGATTACATTATCCTTAATTTCTGTATGTATATTTAAGTGTCATTTTGCATTTCTAAATATATAAAGTCTCAGAATGAATTGGATTAGGAAAACTGGGTGTTTTATGGCATATTATTAAAATGGATAAGGCACGATTTAATTAGACCTAGTGGAGGGATAATATCAAATATGTAAGGGCAACTACTTTGTCTACCCTGCCATGTGTTAAAAAGAAAAGAACTAATATCATTCCTTTTCAGGATGATTTACAGAGCCTGGGGTAAACAAAGTTAAATGTGTTAGAACAATGCATTTTCTTGGCATTTCATTCTAGGAGAACTGTTACAAACTGATTAAACTAAGGATTTTCTTAGACCCAATGAAAAATCATGCTCATTTTTTTAAAAAGATGTGCATTCAAATAATATAACTCACTTCACATAATGCTTGGGACATAGTATATTTATCTATCTAAAACACAATCAATTTTAAGAGACATTATTTTATGCTATAGTGAGAAAGAAACAATACTACCAGTATATATTACATGATGCTATTGATGGTAAGAAATGTTCTCATTAGAATGGGAGATGGGGAAATGTACATTGTAATTAGTAAAATATGATGGTAGCTACTCAGTAAATATTTGTAGGATGAATGAATGATGTCTTAGTCTGTTTGAACTGCTATCACAAAAATACTATATACTGGGTAGCTTATAAACAATAGAAAATTCTCATATTTCTGGAGGCTGGAAGTCTGAAATCAGGGTGCCAGCCTGTTTGGGTGAGGACCCACTTCTAGTTTTTAGACTTCTTGTTGAATCTTCATATAGCAGAAGAAGCTAGCTAGTTGTTTGGGTTCTCTTTTATAAGGCCACTAATTCCATTAATGAGGGCTCTGCCAATCACCTCCCAAAGTCATTACCTTCTAATACCATCATCCTGGGCATTAGTTTTCAACATGTGAATTTTGAGGGAACACAAATATGTTGATTATAGCAAATGGTTAGATGGATGGATGATGGTATATAGATGGTTATGAATGGATATATGAATACTTGATCTTAATTCTTTGAAAGCAAGAACTCAGGTTGACTCATGTGTATCCATCAAAGTAGCTTATTATGGTACTTTCACATAGTCTTTGATAAATGTTTATACAATTGAAGCAATAGCATTAAGGACAATTTTACTGAAATTCCAAGTAAGTCAAGACAGAGAAGGAGTATAGAAGAGGAAATTAGAGAGATGTGTATTTATTTTGGTCTGTATAGAAGCATTAATGAAAGATGGAGAAAAGCCCCAAGTCTTATTTGCTTCTGAGGAAGTTCTCAACTCTTTGAGAACCAAATTCTGAAAATTATTTCATAGAACCATAATACTAGAGTCCCAAGGGACAAAAAGATTAGAATCTAACCTTATTTTAGAGATTTATAAATGTATCATTTAGTCTCTCATTCATTCATTAATTACAGAAATATCTTCTGAGTCCCCTAATGTAGGAAGACACTGTACTAAGTAGAAGAAATTCAACATTGGAAAAAACAGATAACTCATCAGATAATGGATGTATGCCATGATAGTAAGTTAGGGGTATATTTGAATCTTAGTTCCATAGAGGTATTCATAAGAAATACCTTTACTTTTTAGATAAAACTTCTCTGATAAACGTGATTATTAAATCATAATTTTGAACATACATTTGATTTCCCAATAAATGATTAGTAAATCAATCATTGCTGAAAATCTCTCCTACCCAATTGACATTTATGTTATTCCAATTCGGTGTTTATAATATGGCTTCCTCATATTTTTGCAAGTGTTAGCCTTTGAATATTTTACTTCATCCATACTAAGGTAATTACTATTTCCTGGATACACTTAGACATTTTCTTTGCTGTTCTTAACTCATTTTATTCCCCCAGCCTATCAAGCCCTCTGCACTGGTGAATCCTCTTAATCTTTTGTGAGCCCTTGTACCAGGAAGGCTGAGTGCTAAGTGCATGGGAATTGGATTTAGGTTGCTTGAAGCCTGCATATGTTTTGTGTGTCATTAGATATAAATGCCTTCCTTACAGTGCTGCTGTGAAGACTAGTTAAGAAAAAGTTTGTAAAGTGCTTTTCATAGAACTGACTACAGTTTCTATTATTCTAAATCCCTACTGTCTTAATGCTATATACATACATTTCTTTCTTCGCGGTACAGTTAAGAAGCAGATGTAGGTGACAGAGGAGTAGGCTGGGTTCTTTGCACTGCCTGTCACTAGCAAAGAGCCAATAAGCAGAGATAGGAATTGAATCTATAAGTGCTTTTATTTTTTAGATCACTGGCCATCAGTCTGGGAGAATGGAGTGTGTAAAACCCGAAGAGACTGTTTTGACATCTCATCTCTAGCTGGCCTTTTTATAATGGGTTAGACAAAGAAAGTTAGTCATAAGCAAACAGCCCATCAGAATAACCCCATACAGTTGATATTCCTGGTATTCGTCACATTCAGCCCCCAGAACATGTTAGATTCCCAGTTATCTTGACCCTGGTACATCCCGCCTGCTGATCCTGGTTAATTTCTGATGGTGTCAATGTCTGGCATTCATTCAGGCATTATCAGGGCAAAGATCTCAGTTCAAGGCAAGAGTTTTAGTTTAAAGAAAACAGGTCATTAGTCATATGGTGTGTATGTGCAGATTCCTATATTAGGTATGGTGTTCTTCCCTTCCTTGCTAGCCCCCTATCATAGGAACAATAGGTTTTCCTTTTTAATCTATGAGTCACTGGTAATATTTAACATAATAAAATTTTTGAAAGAATAAAGAACAGAAAAGATGGATGAATGAATGGGTGTGTGATGTGATGGGGTCCAGCACTATCAGTATTTGTATTCATATCCATACGGCAGACTGATTTAAAAAAAAAGAATGGAGTTATCAAATAAGTTGGCAATATTTCTAGAGCAAACTTACATATAAAAGAATTTACCCACATACATATATACCATGGAATATTACTCAGCATTCAAAAAAGATAAACACATGCAATTTGCAGCAACATGGATGGCACTGGAAGGGATCATGCTCAGCGAAATAAGCCAAAAAGAAAAAGAAAAATACCGGATGGTCTCACTCATAGCAGGAATCTAGAAAACTTAAATAAGGGACCAGGAAAATGAATAACTATAAGAAAGTGAAAATCAAAATCAACAAAAAACTATGAACCAGAGACACTTTTTGGGGGGTGGAGGCGGGAGGGGAGGGATTGGGGTCAGAATGGGGGGGGGTTGCAATTGTATGGGGAATATAAAAATAAAATTTATTATTTAAAAAATAAAAATTAAAAAAAAAAGAATTTACCCACATTTTACCCTTGAACATATTGTCCTTTTGGGAATGAGTAAATCTTTACATACCAACCTAATCATGGCTTTCAAAACAGCAGAAGTGCTGTATCCTACTAAGACAGTTTGGAGAGTGTCTTCATTTCTCATTATTAGAATTGATTTTTTTATTATTATTTAATATGGTATCTGAGGAGAACTTCTGGAAGGTCAGGCTGAGGTCTAGGGAATGAGACAACAGGGACAGGCCAGCCCTTGTGCATTCTAGACTAAGCATTTCATTTAATGATATGACCTTGAGAGAATCAGAGGTTTCACTTCAGTTTGATTTAGAAAGAACTGGCCTCAAGTTCACCTCTGCAGAAAGATCTGGCCTCAGCAGGCAGCTATGTGTGTCTGGTCTTGTTTACTCTGCCTTAAAAATATTAGGATGCTACATATCCAGTTCTGTCAATTGTACAAACTGTCTTATAAAATAAGTACTAGTGTCTACATAGAAGAGTCCGTTTTTCGAAATAGATTTTTAATTCTATAGTTCGGATTCATCTGTCCTCCAGGGAGCCATTGCCCATTATCCATTTCTAAATGTGAGAAACAACTCCTCACATTTTAAAATGATATATGTGAACCATAAATAAATATTGCACTCTTCAGGTCTATGGCTAAAAACCATTAGAAAGAGTGTCTTGAACACAGTGGCCATTTCATAGATTTTTTTTTGAGGTATGCTGATAAAGTTTCTTCCAAAGAGCCATTTTGTAGCATATATTCATGATTGTTAATAATATTATTTCTTTTCTCTCCAGAAAGCACTATACTACTTCTTAAAGGCAGCAAAGGCCGGAAGTGCAAATGCCATGGCATTTATAGGAAAGGTACGTGCTTCATCTTGGTCAATATTTTTCATTTCTTAAAAACCTAATAAATTAATGGTATCAGGAAAATGAACCCAGTGTAGGATGACAAGGTTATATGCCTCTTTCATGGAAGCATTTCATCAAAGCTTTAGCTACAAACTGAGGGTAGTAGTCTTGAGATGACATTTGGGGAAGAAGCCCTATACAACAGCAGTCTTTATCTGGGTCACCTAAAGTAGGCTTGAAAAGTGTACTTGGTCCAGAGTTTCTTCAGCTGCAGTCCCTGCTCCATGCCTAAGACCTCAGCAGCCCCCTTGCTAGCATTTAACAGAGATCCAGGATAGTTATTCATTGAAGACTTGGTACAGTCCTCAACCCAATCAGGTGCATTCTTTCTCCTCCCTAGTCCTGGTAACTAGCTCCAGGCTCACCAAGTCCATCCTATAATGTCCTCCCATCTCCCCCAGTGTTGCCCTTGGATCCCTGCACCCAATTTGCATTAGTAACCATGGGGACAATTGCCCTTCTTTCAGAAATGCTATACACCATAAATTTACATGGAAGGGAATGTGAAAAAAAAATAAATTGCATACACTTCTTGGACAAGGTCACTCCAGAGTATATACAATAGGTTGTTTCTTTAGTTTTTTTTCTATTTTTTAAACAGAGATGGAATTCAAATAACATAAAATTAATCATTTTAAATACAATTCAGTGGCATTTACTATATTCACAACATTGTACTATAATCACCTGTATGTAATTCTAAAACATTTTCATCACCCTCAAGTTCTTCAGTTTTTTTTTACTTTTTTTTTTTTTTTTGGTAGATGTATTTAGAAGGTAATGCTGCAGCACCACAAAATAATGCTACTGCCTTCAAATACTTTTCCATGGCAGCCAGTAAGGTATGTACTCAACCCATTGCTGTAAATGAAAGTACTTTGCCTTTATTCCACGCAGACTGGTGCTAAGAAGTTAAGTCCGATGTCCCGCATCCAGTTAATAGGCCTGGGGGTTTTGTGTCCTGGAGAAAAAGATTATTGTTGACAATAGAACAGGGAGTTGGAGAAGGGAGAGATGTGTCTTGTCTTCTTGGTAGATGGAAAATGGCAGTAACTTTACTGACCAAACAGGAGGTCAGACAGAAAGCAGAACTTTCCCCTCCCCCATGCAGTAGGTGAAGACTAGTTCAGGAAACAGGAAATAAAAGAGATGAAGGCAGAGCAAGGGAAAATGCATTCAAAAACTGCAGTAAGTGCAGGAGAGAGACAATCAAGAACTGCCAAGTTTTTTCCCAAAGGTCAGAAATTCCCTTGGTCTAGGCAGAAGGTTGTCAGAGAACTGACCATGACACAGTGAGTTAGAGCAGCGTTCTACAGACATAATTGCCAGTGTGGATGCCAGGACTGCAATTCACAAGATGTATTACTATGGGACTTCTCCATGCCTCATTTCCCCTTCTGTCAAATGGGAATATAAAAGGTTTGCCTCAAGGAGCTGTGATCCTATGCCTCTGAATCACATACAATATTGTAAACCAATGTTATCTCAATTGAAGCATTTTTTTAAATAAAGTGGTAATAGGAAATTTTAAAAATTTGCCTCATATTGCTATTGTCAGGACTTAATGAGTAAATATATATGCGTTGTATTGTAAAATACTTAAAGCAGTGTGTGGCACATAGTTAGTGCTACATATCAGCAATTATTTTTTGCAATCTGGGACCAATTTGCAATCTGGAATGAACCTCACACTATATCAAAGGCAGAACGGACTGGATCTGTGACAGAATATAGAAATCGTATACTATGGTTTCTTTCATAGAAGTATTTGCTTTCGGTTCTTGGTTCAGTGAGGCTTGTATGTGTCAGATAAAATTTACTAAACTACTCTGAATCTCTTTAGTGCATAAAGAATGTCCTCATCAAAACACTCATTATCCTAATGTTGGTGAATGGCCTTGATAAACTTTCAATTCCTTCACATTAAGAAGCATTTTGTTGTCTCACAATTTCATAGTGCAACACTGGCAGTAAAGATGTGTTCAAATTGAGGCATATTTTCAACTGTTCTCAGTTTTTAAAAGCCCACATGCTGCTTTAGGAGCCTATTTATAAATGACTAGCACCTCAGAGATGCTGCTATTGTGGTGTAAATTACTGAGAAGGCTGGTACTCTCCCTTGTAATTTATATGAAATTGTTGCTCAGCAAGACAGTTATCTGGAGTACCATTAGATTAGGACGACAAGGGGGAGCGAACTGAAAAAGAGGAGGAGTAATGTAACAGAGGAAGAGCTCTTATAATTTGGCAAGTAATGCTGATTTGTCAGCCCTAAGGAATAATGCCAGGAAGTTGAGTCTGTAAATTAACCCAGCTACTAAGCTATTCAGGGCTGTGTAACCAGCAGCGATCTGAGATACTTGTGTTCTAAACTTGAGCTGCCTTCCTTTACATAGAAAATCTGAAATTGTATTTATTCTGAATGAAAAGGTAATTTTTTTGAGTGGCATCAGGTGTACATGGCCGTATATTTCTTTATCATGGCCTTGATAATTTATTCATTTCTCACTTGGCATTACTACCAAAATAAAATTCACTACTTCCATTCTGCACACACATAAACTTTATTACTTTTTTAACTCTTGCTTTTTAATTTTTTTAAGTCGTAGCAGAACCCTATAGGTGCAAATCTATAGATTTTATGGCCTCTTTTGTCTTACTTACTCCAAAACATGAACAGTTATCTTATGTGATATGTGATACTTAAACCATATTAGACCATATCCTTCTGGTTTTCTCTCTCTCACCTCTGAACACATCAAGCCCATCTCCATTTCTATGCTTTCATCATATCTCCTCCCCTCCCAGAATCATCCCCCATTCTGAATCCTACCTGTCACCAAGAGCAGAGTTCAATTCTTTCTCCCTTCATAATTCATGCCTATACCATTTGTTGGCTCATATAATCTCTTTTCTCTCCTAAAATGACTCTACATGCACTCTTTGTACTCACTGAACTTTACTGCTTCTAACTTGTACCTTCCTTCTGTTGTCTGAAGATCATCTTTCCTCAACTAGAGGAGGCTAAGGGTCTTAGTATGGAGTAGGTTTCATTAAAAAATCTGCAAAGATGTAATCATATTGAAAAAAATTTTTGCCAAATAAATTACCATCTGCTCCCTAATTTCATGTCATATAATCTAAGCAAGAACATTGAACCCTAAGGAGGAAGTTATATATGGGTGGATTGCCTAAACATATATTTTTGCTTAGCCCAGAAAATGTTTTTAAAATTAGGAAACTTCTTATGAAAATCTGGAAATCTAGCTTTTCTTGGAAACTGCAAAAAGTTGAACCATGTGAGGCTGACACTCCATGTGACCACACTGGCTAGAACAGAGAACTGAGGAGTTTCTACTGCCTTTGAATAAGGCAGGTACCTCTGATTTGCCTCAGCCTTAACCACTGCCCCCATAACTTCACATAATATAATTCTTACATTTCCTGCATGAGTCCTTGATCTCTCTTGGTTGACCATTTCTGACCTGAAGTTTCTGAACAGATAGATACTCTGGTCCTTAAGCAATTGGTGACATATCCACTGAGTCCCTGGTTTCCTAGGGGATTTCTTTAAAAAGGAAATTAATTTTGCCCCAATATTTTAAATTTTCTCTTTCACTCTCTCTTCTTCCCTTCCATTTTTCTCAACTCCTAAATGAAGTTAGCTAGAAAGACACACTTAGTATACTCTATCACATCCATCACACCAGGCCTTGCTACTATCCCAAGACTCCTAGAACTACAAGCATGTCAGGAAAGAATAGAGAAGAGCACAGAGATATGCCACCTGTTTTAAATACAGATAGACTGTTTTTAAGAATTCTAACAATACTGGCCCTTCAGTATGCCTAGGTATTAATTTTGGAGTCTTGAAATAGTTTTCAAACTATGCCTTCTCTAGTTATGTGCTTGAGAAGTGCTATATCACTGAGGGATATTCTAGCTGCATCCACAATAAATAAATTTAGCTAGTAAAAATAAATTTGGAGAGTTTCCTTTCAGAACTTCAGTGCCTGAGGAAATCCTATAAATCTTTAAAACAAGCACCCTTGTTGGCTGAGTGAAAGCCAAGTGGCCAAACATCTCTCCCTACTCAGTCACTAGAGGTTGAAATGTGTGATGGCAGATGGAAAGAAAAAGTCAATTTTCTAGTTGGGAAAGTCACTATTAAGGCTCACACTTCAGGATTGATATAGTAAATATTAATATATTTGAATTTGTGCTAAATGCCAAATATGTAACTTTCCCTAGACTATTTAGTATATTAATCAGAAAAGAGAAGAGTTAGTATCAAGCGGAAAACATTGGTGATGTTATCAGGAGTCTAATTTGAATAAAGAAACATGTCAACAATGTTTAGCTCCATAATAATTGGATTGATATTATTCAGTCTCTAAACTGTTATTTGGCTATTTATGTCAACCTCCTTTGACCAAAGCTGGTAACAAGAATCCTATATAGCTCTCTCCCTTCTGGAAAACTCCTACACATCCTTCAAGACCCAGTTCAGAGTTCACCATCTTTGACAACTTAAACCCCTCAGTTACTGGCTTCATCGACACATGTTCCTTTTTTCGGTGCCTACAACACTTTCTACTATAAGACATCACATTTGACATGATTACTTTAGGAGTTCCACTAGCCTATGCACTCTCTAAAATTGGGATATTTTATTCATCTTTCACCTCTCATCTGTGCCTAATGCCTACTATGGAATCACAGAAAAGCAAACACTAAATAAATAGTGAAGAAATATTTGACTTTTTATTTTCTTCTTTTCTAGATAGAGTATGTTATGAAGTTATGAAAGGAAAAACTGTCTGATTAATTTGTCTTGATTAATATGCAAATGGGTGTATTTCAAATATTTTTAATAACTGCAGCAATAGTTCCTTATGATGAATTCTTCTGGAGCTTTACTTGGATTTTTATAATTGTTCTAGGGTAATGCAATTGGTCTTCATGGGCTTGGTCTTCTTTATTTTTATGGTAAAGGAGTTCCTGTGGTAAGTGAAATAATTTTGCTACCTTTTAGACACATTTCTAGCAATTTATAGGGAAAATTCATAATCTTTGAATAATTTAAAGGAGTCAGTATAAAGAAACTGGCTTGCCAAACTGTAATAACAAGGAATAAAATAATCCAGAGAAATATTTGCCAGAGACAAAGAACAAACTTGTGGCAAGAATAATGATCCTAATTATATCATAGAATCATAAAGTCTAAGTAACCTTAGAAATCATCTAAATCCTGAGGATTTTTTTTTAAGATTTATTTATTTATACAAGAACTGCAGTACAGGCCAGATATGCGGAGGGTGAGAGGATCCACCAGAGACAGCGGGGAACAGAACAGGCAGACTGACGAAATACACTGCTGAGGGGGGCAGCAGGCGAGACAGGAGAGATCTGCTGTGCCATGTGGGAGTCTCGCTGGCCGGCCGGGATCGAACCCGTGCTGCAGAGGCTGCGGACAGCTTCCCAGTGCGGCGCTCGACCACCTGCACCACCAGGGAGGCCCAGGATTTTTTTTTGATAGAGAAATTTATCTTAGCTTAACCTATTCTTTTGAATGACCTTCCCCAAATATCTAACAAAATCTACTGTCATTGTAGGAAAAAACAATTTACAGTGAAAATTAGGTAGCTATTTCCTAATAGAATCTAATACAATGAAAAAATGTATAATACCTCTAATGCTATTTTAATTAGCTAAATCATACAGGGCACTATCTATACTATTAATAAAAATAAATATGGAAGGCAATTGTTACCATGGAGTTTTACATACACCTTGAGTAATAGAATATAATTATATTACAGAATTATGCTGAAGCACTTAAATACTTTCAGAAAGCTGCAGAGAAAGGATGGCCCAATGCACAGTTTCATTTAGGCTTCATGTACTACTGTAAGTGCTACAAATACAGCTATTTTACTAGAATGACAAATGCATTTCTAAGACTGTTCCTTTTTGGCAAAAATCAAAAGGTTGATGACAGAATAGATAGAACTTTCAAACAGTATCTTCAGGAATTTGAAAAAGACTAAAGGAAAGGACACCAGATGTCCTTTGAGGGAGGAGACAAGGAGCTTAGTTAGGAAGTTCATGTTTGAAAGGTTAAGTTTAAGGTGCTTTGTTATACCTAAAGCACATACCCAGAAGCAAGTACGAAACCCACAAGAAAGGTCAAATTTGGAGAAAAAGATTTGGGAGACATTTATAAGAAATCATTAGTTGAAAGTAAGTGAGGCTGCAAAGGGAAAAGAGAGTGTGAGAGAAACAGTGGGTCATGGTCAGAAATCCGGTGTTCCTCAGTACCACATTAAAAAGATGGGCAGAGAAAGAGAAAAACTGAAAACTGAAAAAGCATGGTCAGTAGGATTAAGAAAAAAATATTGTCATATTAGGAAAGCCCAGAGGTGGAAATTTCAAGAAAGTAAATTCATGAAATTTACTTAAGTAAATTCATTACCCCCTGTGAAATGCAGTGAGAAGTCTGGTTCTCACATTTCAAAACAAAGTAAGAACAGCCAAGTATCCATGAGATTTATCAATATGGACACTGTCTATAAGGTCATTGGACTAGTTGGGGTGGAAGCCAGATACAATGGGTTGAGCTGTGAATAGAAGGTGAGGAAGTAGATGAGTAAAGATATTCTCAGAAGTGTTGTGCCTTTAAGTGGAAGGAGAGAGAAAGAATGGTAGCATATGAGGGATAAAAAACCAAGAAGGAGTTTTTTTGTTTTAATGGTGACAGACCTGGATATAATTTTTGACAGAAAAAAGAGGGCAGCCAATGGAGGTAGTTAATGTACCATGGAAGAGATGGGATAATAAATGTCAAGAGATTCTGGGAAAAGCTGGCCAACATTAGGACCTGGTTGCACTCAGATGAGAAGACACCTCATTATTCTTGACCAGGGAGGAGGGACTTCTCATCCTCAAAGACTGGAGGGAGAGAAAGGAGGGTGGGAGAAAAGGAGAGAGGCAAGTAAGAAAAGTCAGTGTGAAAACTTCATTATTAAACTACTTGGTTCATAGTTATCTTCTGAGAGCAATGGTAGAGTGATTGGTGTAGGAAATCTCAGGAAGTCATAAAGGTTTGTTATAATCTCCATGGGGCCTGTGAGAGAGTGGTCAAGATAAGTACATGGAGCTCTCAACAGAATTGAATATACCTGCTAAGTCCTTCCTGTTAGATGGGGAGCTAGGGTAACAGCAATCTGCATCATCAAGGTTAGATCTTGCCAAGAGATTTGCTGACATTTCCCACAATGACCCAGCAGAGGGCATGTTCTGAACTGTCTTGGGGATGAGGGTGGGAAGAGGGGATGCCTAAGATGGCCTTATTCTGGTTAATTCCAAGTCCCAAGCCCAGGCTCCATCAGATACCTCAAACTTCTAAAATAAGAGTTTAACAGTAATGGCTAATGTTTATTAAGTCTTTAATAAAGACTTATACTTACTGTCTTCCCAATTTATTTATACTTACTGTCTTCCCAATTTATTTAGGGGGTATTCTATATTTTATAGATGACCAAAGTGTTCCAAAATGAGTTGAAATCTCTTGCCTGATATCACACAGTAGGGTTGAGATTCAAGCCCAAATAATCTACCACTAAAACCTTTGCTTTTAATTGCAATTGTACTTTTATTTTAGAAATGTTAGTGCTGGAAGGAACTTAAGTCTCAACTAGTAAAAGCCCTTCATTTTACAGATGAAGTACCCAGAGGTACCCAAATCATAAAAGGAATAATAGGGGTACAGAACAAGAATCTCAGCTGCTGGGAGTATGCTGATCACTATCCTAGCTACTTCTTTTTATCTTTAATAATGAAGTACCATTGTTTTACATCTCTGTTAATATTTTGAAAATATAGGATTTCTCCTCTTAGATTTGGTCACCATAGCTCTTCCACTACCAAAGCACCCATAGTTCTCTGCTATAGCATTTTGTGCTCTACCCACTGCCCTCTCAGTTACTTCTTACTCCAAACATGAGTTGAGACTGAGCAACTGTGCTTCCTGGAACAGGGATTTGCCTGTCCCAAGCTGTCTAGTTATGGCTGGGAGAAACTATGCTGGTCTCCTGGTATTAACAGGATGGTGAGACATATAATGGTCCTCAGAGACTACTCATTGGTCTCCTTTTCATTAACTCGAGTTGAACCATATCAATGAGATATTTCATGAGACTAGACAGTCCTTATCCTTCAGTTTTTTTTAAATGGATCAAGAACCTGTAAACTTAATTTCTGTGTTCTCTTATAATCAAATTCAATTCCTCCTCCCCCCCCCATAATGCATATAAAGAAGCTTGACTTTGGGTTGGCTTTTCTTTCCCATTCTGTTTAAAATAGCAGGCATTACTGTAACGATCATATTCGCAGATTATAATGCAAGAAATAAAATAAATAAGAGATGGCTTAAAGTAAATTTAATTTTCAGCTGGTTCTGGAGTATGGAAGGATTATAAACTTGCCTTCAAATATTTCTATTTGGCATCTCAAAGTGGGCAGCCCCTTGCCATTTATTATCTGGCCGAGATGTATGCGACAGGAACAGGAGTTTTAAGATCATGTAGAACTGCTGTGGAGGTAAATAATAAGCTGTTTTTAAGTACTTTCCATTTATCACACAGAGGAGATGATACTGTCTTTAAATTGTTGGTGTCTTTGCTTTTATAGATGTTACCTCTTTTCTTCCAGTTGACAATGTGAGCACTGACATTTGCCAGGGAGAAAAAGCAGTGATGTAACTCGGACTGGGAAAGGGAGGAAAAGAAATAATCCCTCCTTTCTTGCATTTGGCTTTTCATCAAGTTCAGAGCTCACCTCAGAATTCAGTTAAGGAGCTCTGTTTCAACCTTCAATCAAATCATCAGGGCAATTTGGCACTTCTAGTGGTATTGGGAATTACTACTTGGAAAATGAAAGGCTTGATTTGGCCTAGAAAATGTAGCCGACTTCTTCCCAGAAAGGAGGGTCCTCAGGTTTTTGATGGTTTTGATAACAATTGAGAAATTGAATTATTAGAGCCTGAGCCAGTGATATACTTTTCAAAAAATGCTTTTAGGACCCTAATGCCCTTTATTGATTTATTAAACACTTCCGTAACACATAAATATCTCCATGTTGCAAGCTGGCCCCTGTGAAAAATATTTCAAAAGCTGCCAGCTAATAATCTATCTTTAGATTTGCTCCTTTGCCAACTTCCTAATGAATTATGTATGGCTAACCTCTTTTGGTTACATAAGGGCTATTCAGCTATGTTGAGGTTTGTCCCCATGGAACTCAGCACACCATCCTTGCAGTTATGTCACCTACACCCTCAGGCACTGTCTTCCCTTCACTCTCTTTTTCATAACAGCTGTGGTCTTATCACTTGCAGCAGTGCCCAAAAATGCCCTTTTTTAAAAAAGGGCTTTTTTTGGTCCTGCCAAAAAGTCTCCAAATCTGCAAAGTTTATTACACAAATTTAAAATAAGCTTAGGGAAGTTTTTGGCTCAAAACAAAACAAACAAAAAATGCACACTTGTAATCTTTGTGACTATGAAAGGCATTACAAAGTATTTGCTCTAAGTAATTTGCTATAGCCTAAATCCTTATCTGACCAGCCAGAAGTCACTTTAGACTGATGTCATTTATCATTTACCTGAGATAAAGCATATTAGCTAACTAATCTGCTTGATTTCTCTTCCCATATACAGCTTTATAAAGGTGTCTGTGAACTGGGCCATTGGGCTGAGAAATTCCTGACAGCATACTTTGCCTATAAGGATGGTGATATAGATTCTTCTCTTGTTCAGTATGCACTACTTGCAGAAATGGGGTATGAAGTAGCTCAAAGCAATTCAGCGTTTATTTTGGAATCTAGTAAGATAAGTTAAAATTCTCTGCAATTCCCCAATTATGCATATGCCTATAAACTTTACTATAGGGGTATTTTAGCCTTCCTAATGGAATGTCTGCTTTTTTTTTTTTTAAGAAAAGGTTAAAATTCTTGAGAAAGAGAAAATGTATCCAATGGCTCTTCTCCTATGGAATCGAGCTGCCACTCAAGGTATAAAAATGAGTTCATACCTGGTCCCCGTCCACTGTTATTCATCTGACTTTCTCCTGATAATTCTTGGGTACATAGGCAGGAGATACAGAATATCAAGTAGGTGGTATTTTAAACGTATTGATATTAGGGTCAGCCTTTGATTAGAGGTCGTTTCCAGGAATTTCTTTGCTATTCCCAAGGTCCCTGGTTTAGCAAAACATATACCCTGTTACACAGGAATTTTTCTCTGGTTCTATTTCTCTTACACCATAATGACCATTTGAAACATGCCAATTTTACTGACAAAACCAGTTTTCTAGGTCTGGTTTCCATCACTCATTTGCTGAGTTTTTTTCTGAACTTAAAGATGTGACCTATGTGGCTCTAAGACTCCTCTGGTTTCTCTTTTAAAATAGCACATTGATGATTATCACAAACTCCTGATCTTTAAGCCACTAGCATGTAATCATTATTTTAAAAAATGTCATGGTTAATTGACAAGGGGCTCTTTCCTTTTCTGAAATTCCTATGTCCTCTTTACAAGGATCACATGTGATAAAGAATGTAAGCTAGCAGTGACGGGAAAGCAACACCAGGTGGTATTTGCATCACCATGTCTCTTTTCATTCTTTCCCTAAAATTATATTATAAAAAGCAGAGAGAGACTGTGAAACTGTCATCATTGGCATTTGGATATGTGAGTAACTCTCTTACAGTAAGGGAGCAATTCTACTTCCAATTATGTTTCTTAAAATCATCTCATGCTAAGGTCAAATCATCCCTTTTATACAAGAAGTGAATGGGATAAGGAATCATTTTCAACTGATGATAATATGGGACAGAAGAAAAAGTCACAGTGGTGCCTTCTCAAATTCAGCTGAACTTATAACACAACAGCAAGCCATCCATATGCATTAACAGAATAAAGTCCAGTTCAGAGTGGAAAACAACACCAGGAAGCTTTAAGCTGTGGCAAATCAGCTCAATTGTGACAAATACAGATTTATTCTAAGTCAGGAAATGGTGCAAAAATTGCATTAACAAAGAGACACTGAAAATGAGGGGACATGAATATTAAGCAGAATTCATCAATATTAAAAATATCAGATCATTGAAAATAATTATGTGTTACAAGAGTGGTCAGGCATAAATGTCCCAGAGATGTGACTGTTGAGTGGCTCACTTGAGGTTAGGAAATCTAATAATGAAAAGTTTCCAATATGTCACAGATGGTACTTGTCTGAGCTGTTGCTATATGTGAGGAAGGACTTAAACCATCAGGACTTAGTCACCACGGGTGACTGTGAAATTTAAAGGGAGATACCTCACACTGTCAAGAGATACCTCAAATTTAAAGGGAGATACCTCACACTGTTACTACCTTCCTTTCTCAGAGACTTCAAGGACCCTGATGATAAAGATCAAAAACACACAGGAATTCTGTCCTTTTGAGCTTATGAAACATAAAGAATCTTGGGTAAAAGCAAGTCAACTTTGGGAAAAATTAGATATGGAGTAGACTCCAGGGGTCTCTTGTCTACCCAGGCCCCTTCAGGTCTCTGAATATCATTTTTATAAGGCTGTGCCACTAACTACTTATACATTTTGAAGCACCTGGTAAGCAGATATTGATAGCTGATATCTTGGGCACCTTAAGAATTACAAGTTTTACTCAGAGAGAGCTAAAGATAGTTCAAATATTACATTATTAACAGAGGATTTTAGAACACTAAAAGAACTTTAGTACCCAAAGGAATTAATTCAAAAGGATATTAGGCATTGTACTAAGCCAATGGGTAGACATTACTGGAAGGAGTACTGTAACCCTTAATAATACCCCTCAGACCTTACCACATACAACATGGAGTACTTCCTCCTTTTCCAAGTGAGCCTAGACTGGCAAGAGGTTGGCCAAAGCTGAGGTGAATGTGTCCTAGATGAGCATTTCCTCATCTCTTCAATTAAAATTATCCCAGTAAATAGAAACATAGACCCCAAAGGGACCCTTAAAGGTCATCACTGAGTGACCTTCAAAAATTGAAGTCATACACGTTTAAAAATCTCATGAATTTTTTCTATTCCTGAACATATCCATGTTTATTGAGAATTAAGATTCTAAATCACTTAACATCTGGAGAGGGTATTTTATAAAATGTTTCCTGCCCATTCATTCTGTAAGTGTGTATCAAATACCATTCTAGGTTCTAAAACTATATCGGTGTTAAGTTTCTTGCTCTCATGAGAGACAGGTAAATAAAGTAGTAATAAGGTAACAGTGGTATGTTCTGTGAAGGAAATAATATAGACATGAGCTAAATAACTATTGGGCTGAGGTACTGAGGGAATGTTTTAGACAAGATAAGTCAGAGAAGGACTCTAAGAGGGAAATAACATTTGCAGTGAGAACTGAATGGTGAACCCCAAACACATGAAGAGTCAGAGGAATTCCAAACATGCTAGGCAGGGGACTTGAAGAATCTTAATAGAGGGATCCTAAGGCAAGAATGAGCTTGGAATGTTGAGGGAATATTGGACTAGTCAGGGAGGCAAAAGGCAGTTAAGGCACAACTTGTAGGTCAGGAATCTGGATACTATTCCAAGTGAAGTACTTGGCAGATATTATTATTCCAAGTGAAGTACTTGGCAGAGGAGTCACTTCAATTGATTTTACATTTTAAACAGATCATCATGGTTGTTGTACAGAAAATAGATTGAAAAGTGAAGATAAAGGAACAGTTTGGATGCCATTATGGTATTCCAGGCCTGAACTAGATGGTGAAGGAACTGGAGAGATACAGGTGTGTTTTAGGGGTGGAATCAACAGGACTTGCTTTTGAACTCTGTGATGGAAGTGAGAGATAATTAACTAGTAAAACTACTCTAGATTTATGGCCTGAACAATGGTGCTAGGACTGAGATAGGAAAGAAACTGATGCTTTGTTTGGTTTTATTTGGGGCAGGAGGTAGTAGGGTGTTAGGAATCTCTATTGGATATTGAGACCCAGGTAGAGGAGCAAAGTAGACAATTAGAAAAGTCTGGAGTTTAGAAAGAGACTGAACTACAAGTATAAATTCAGGAACAGCAAACATAAATATAGCCACGGAACTAGATGAGATCATCTAGAGAAACAGTTGAGATAGAAGAGTGTGGAGGAGAGAGTAGAGGAAGGGAAAAGAGAGAAGGAAAAGATAGGAGAGAAGGAATAAAAATCAAAAAACCAAGTCCTTGATATTTACATTTAGAAATTGGGTGGAGGAGGAGATAGGCAAATGTTTGAAAAGGTCGGGTCTATGAGGCAGGAGGGAAATCAACTATCTTTGATGTTAAGAGAGGGAAGTGCTTAAGTAGCTAGCTCCAATGACTCTAGCATTGCTTAACTCTCCAGTGAGATGAGGGCAGGAAAGTAACCAATGGATTTGGCTGCATGGAGATTTTGACCACCTTGAAGATAAGGCTTTAAGGAACATGGGCAAAAGTCAGATTGGAGAGTGGGTCAAGGATCATGGGAAATGAAGCTTTGGTAAATATAATGTATGCAGAACTTACTTTTGAAAAGTCATGTTAAGGAATAGAAAAGGGGCCATAATTAAAAGGAGACATCATAAGACAAAGAAAAGGCTTGTTTTATTCATACAAGATACCAAAGTGGTTTTTTTATTGATAGGATTAGACGGGAAAGAGGGAGAAACTAGTGATGTAGGATAGTAGCATTTCAGGAGGGAAGTCTATAGACAAAAAGGATGAAATCCAGTTTGCCAAGAATTGACCTACCTCCGAAAACCAAATTTTAAAGGTAAAATTCAGGGTTTTTTAAATTCTTTAAGGACATTTGTACGAATATACCATGGGAGTTATCCTACAATGAAGGCAGCTACCTTTCAGTGTCATATTTTGTATTTCACAAATGCTAATACTGACTCTGGGATTCTGAATGTTTTTTGCTTTTATGTGTATTATCATTAGGTTGAGTTACTAGGAACTACTCATGATCATTTGAATTCTTCTTCTCTTTCTAATATTTCTATCAGGCAATGCATTCGCTAGGGTGAAAATTGGAGATTACCATTACTATGGCTACGGGACTAAGAAAGATTATCAAACAGCAGCCACACATTACAGCATTGCAGCTGACAAATACCACAGCGCCCAAGCCATGTTCAACCTGGCCTATATGTATGAACATGGTTTAGGTATTGCAAAGGTAATTGTGTTGGTAGTATTCCAGACCTAATAATGGGAGCTGTATATGAAGGGGAAATTTGTAAATGTTTTGAATTTCACTGATGTCATCAACGTAGTCGAAGAAAGGAAAAAGACTGAACATTTACTGAGTCCCTCCCATGTACCAACACATATTACTTACCCTAATATGAGCCCTATGAGGTAGAAATTACCTTCTCCATTTATGCCCAAGGACATAACTAATGAGAAGAATAAATCTAGTCTAAGTCAATTTGACTCATAAATTCATGCTTTTTCCAACAATACTAGTGGGCCCTGGCCCCAATCCTTTCCACTTGCAGGCCTTTTTCCTTTAAAATTTCCACTGACAAGCAAACTCTCTACAGCAAGAAGAAAGTGGAAATGAGGTTATAATTAGATATAGAGGTGGCATTGATCCAGAAATATCTTATAAAATATCAACTGTGTATATGACACAATGCTGAGCACTCTACAGAGACCCAAGAAAATAGATCTCCATCCTTCAAAGATCACACCTGACTTGAAGAGATGAGTCATATTCATTAAGAAAGAGAACAAACCCTACAAGGATATAGTGAGTAAATCCTTTAGATAGTTAAGGGCAAGATGGCATTGGGATCTGACAGACTGAGAAAGATGTATTAAATATCAATCATGATGATAATAGCTAGCTATTACTTTATGTATATACCATGTGATTTAAATCACTATCATTTGATGAGATGAGCCCTATAACTGTCCTCAATGTGTATATCAGGAATCCAAAGTGCAAAGAGGTTAAGTCATATGGCCAACTTTGGAGAGCTCATTAGTAGTGTAACCAGAATTTGAATCTAGGCCTGTCTGATCCTATGTTTTGGGGGCAAAGAGTATGCTCTGCATTGAGTCATTCTTAGTACTCAAGCAGATATTTCACTTCAATGTTTATATTCCTGGTTACATTTTAAGAACCAAATAACTTGTAGGGTTATCAGTTCTTTGTTTCAGTGCTAGTAATTGAGAATTATTAATCGGGAATTTCTTTTCTGACACTGCTAATAGTACACACAGCAGCCAAGGTCTTATATAGCTACCAATAGCCAGGAGTGAAGATTCCTGGCTTCCTTTTCTCTTCTGTGTTCTGCCTTTTCACTGATTACTTTTTAACAGCCCTGGACCCTAAGTAGGGGGGAAAATGCCAACTCCAAAGCAACTCTTTACCCTGTTCCAAGAAGATGCAAGATTCCTGTGTCTATATAATTGAGGGTGGGAGGAGTAAGACTAGATGGATTAGCTAAATTGGATGATTCTTTGGCTGTCATTTAGCCATACCTTACTTCCCTCCAGACATCATCCATCCACATCTGTAAAACTTAACAATGACTTAACAATGCCTGTCTGCCCAGATTTTGAGGATAAAATGAATAAGCCTTTGTGAAAGGACTTTGTAATCAGTGTGGAATGACTTAATTAGATCAGAAGAGAATTGGAGGGATTGCTGGGCAAGGCTTCAGTAAAATTAAAGCTTTTTTCATCTTCCCTCATGCAAAACATAACAATAATAGTGTGAGGAACATTGTCTGTCTAAAGAGTAAAAGAGACCTCATCCCATAAGGTAAATTCAAATTAGCACTCCCACAGGCTGAGTGACTCATGAATGGTTTAGTCCATTTTGCCTGGATTCCCAACGGGGCTGGCAGGGGTGTCCACTGGAGCACACAGACAGCACGCTGGAGAGGACACTGCCTTACTGGCATTTAGTTGACCCTCTATGTCAGAGGGCTTGGTTTACTCTCTTGGAGTCACAGTTTAGCTCTCTTCTAGACACCTTCCTCAAAAATAACAGGTGTTGATATACTTTCCATACATTTGGAAAAATGTCTGAAATTTCTGGCCACATTTCTGTCAGGGTTCCTGTTAAATCATGGGTAGTTCATTTTGGTCTCTGTCAGCTCTGTCAGTCACAGCTATATTTTTCCTACAGAAAGTTTCTACATTAAAAAAAAAAAAAGAATAGGTGCTGCACTTAACATCAGACCTAGACATGGGAATTTTAGATTAGTTAATTAGGGGCCATTGTTCTTTGTCTTTATTAATTTCTTTTGTTGAGCAATAAGAAAATAATAGCCAAGTACCCAGAGGCAAAGTTTTATTAATGTTGCTATCTCATAGTCAAATTAACAAGGAAAAACCACCTTTTCTAATTATAATATGCTGATAATTAAAAGCCCCAAATTTGTTCCAATGATGGTTAATGAAAGCAAAGTGATTAGGAGAACAGGCTTTCACAGCACTTAAGTCATCGAATAATTAAGCATTTCTTCAGCAAGGCACTTTACAATACTCTTTATTAGCTAATCCTTGTGCAAACCAGTGGGAAAGAGGAGAATATTAACCAGGATATCTCTGAGAATCAAAAAGATGCTGGTGTGGAATCAGGTTTTATAAACTCTGAAGTGAGATATAAATAAATATTTGGTAAATCAAGGTAAAAATATGGGTCACTATTGTTCTCATCTGTCTTTAGAAAAGGTCACAGGGACTAGGATGATGTAGGTAGGTTATCCTAATAGCTTCATGAGAATCATCTCATTCCCCAATTTCTTCCTCCTTTCCTGCTTTCTCCTCCCTCTCTCCCTTCTGCTCTCCCTCCCTTCCTATATTAGTTTACAACACCGTATAGGTTCCAAGAAAACATTTACTTACTATTTCCAACACCAATGTCCACTCACCATCTACCACCAACAATTTGGCCCTTTCTAACCATTCTGTACCCTTCCTGTTCCCTCTGATAACCACTATTGTCAGAGTCTAAGTGTTTGTTTTTCTTTTTTTTTCTTTATAACCCACCAATGAGTGAAATCATACAGCATTTGTCTTTTTCCTTTTGACTTACTTCACTTTCCAGTTTCTGACTTCAAATTAAGCTCAATGAGCTCCTTGACTTAAACTGTGGGTCAAAATGGTGCAGCGGCACCATTATTCTCGGAACACAATATAATAATGGGAGGAATTGGAAGATGACCTAAACTAATTTAGAAATATAAGCACTCGGCTCACAAGTTGTTATGAAGCTCTTGCTCGATATACACTTGATTCTGAAATACCTCAGAAACCTAACATGGAACAAAATCTGTTGCCCATCCCCTCATCCCTATTCCTTCTGTTGTATCCTGGTACAGGCCTGGATTTCTACTCCCAAAGATTATAATGGTTCGACAGGGGTTTCTCCCATTCTAACATTCTTCCTTAACTATGTGGCAGAATTGCTCTCTCCACCAAAGATTTGTAGTTTCTAATCCACAGGGAGGACTTGTTACTGAGATGTTACAAAGACTATGAAAAGACTCTGTTTCCCAGCTTCCTTCACATGTGATTAGTCCTCACTAAAGGAATGGCAGTAAATGTGAAGGGTGTTATTTTTGGACTAACAGAGCTAAAATGTAGATGACTCTTCTCCCTTATCGCTTTCTTCTCCATTAACTGAATGCAGAAGACACAGAAGATCCAGAGGATGGCAGAACCATGTGATAGAAGGAGCTTGAGCCCCTCAATTACCATGTGAAGAAAATTTAACACAAACCAGGAATATCCACATTGGAGTGTGAAATGTGCTAAGCCATTGAAATGTGAAGTTTGTTTAAATATGAGCATCATCTTAGTTACTATATAATACATCTAAGAAAGCATTACCAGATTATTCTCAATAAAGTATAGGTCTGGTACTGTTATTTCTTCAATGTACCACCCCCGCCTCTCCCCCTCACCCCACACAAATATTGCAAACAAGCAAATACCAAATATAAGAGTATTATTGGATTTTTACTGCCTAATAAAGTACAGGCTTTACACCCTGGCTTTGAAAATACTCCTTGATCTAGCATACATTGATAATAATAGTTAATATGCCATTATTTCCTTTGTATCACCACACTTCCACCATCAAAGGCCTTGAACTGAACTCTCCTGATTTTAGGTTACATAACCACTTTTGTGGGAATGATTTCCCATGTTTTTGCCTATTGAAGACCAGTGCATTTGTTTTTAGAGTAGCTGCAATGTCATATCCTCTATGAGGCCTTCAATGAATCTCCAAATTTAAAATATAACTGCTTCTAAATCACTATGGTACTGTGCTTTGCTTTTCACGTATCCATTTGGATATTTACCAAGTTCTTATTTTGCGTCAGGAAGTTCCTTGCTAAGTTCTGAGGATATAAGAAGAACAAGACAGCCTTCAAAGAGATCAGGGTCTACTATACAAGAGATATGCCCACTGGTATAGTGAACGCAAAATGACACATGTGGATGTGTGCAAATAAGGAAAATACTAGAAACACATCACAAAGGAAACAATTCAGGTGGAGGAATCAATACTGACAAGTCCTTTCCTAAAATATATTTGTAATAGAGTATAAGAAACACATGACAATCTTTTTAAATGGAATAAGCTTGTATGTTTTAAGATATTAAGTGGGAAATCTATCCTAAATCAAGACAAAAGGTAAAGGGAAATTATCTTTTGGAGATGAGATTCAAATATAGTGAGAACAGATAATATGTGTTCTTGTTTGGATCCTGCAGAGAAAGCAAAACCACATCTACTGAATAAACAGATCTGTCAGAAGTAAAAGTAATTATAGCATGAAGCATTTTTATTTCTCATTTATCTGGCCTGACCACCTATGGACAGAGCTGAAGCTTTAAAACCAGAATAGAATTATTTTTTGGAAAATGATAATATTTAAAAAGTTAGATATTTAAAATGGCTCTCTCCTGATTATGCTAAAAATAAATCAGAAACTAAAAGACATTTATCAAATGGTTTCTCTCATAATATAATGGTAATATAAAAAAAACAAAGCAAACAGACTAACGTGTCACAATGAAAGTAACTCAGACTTTGAAAAATATGGTGGTTACCTGAGGGGAAGTGGGAGGAACAGACAGAGGGGTCAACCTGATAGCGGGAATGGCACTAGAACTTGGTGGTGGGTGAGGAAAGCCTTATACAGATATAGAGGGGTGAGCCATACTCCTCAAATTATGTGATATTATAAACCAACAGTAAATCAGTAAAATTTTATTTAAATGTGATAGTTCTCTCAAAAACATGACAATAAGGAGGACACATAACCTTTCTTGAAATGTCAATTACCTAATAACTGAAAATGTACAAAAAATTGTTGGGCATGTATAGCTTTATTTGTAGAGAAGAAAATAGCCTACAATAACCAAAAATGCTCTAAAATAGAAGACATGTTAAATAAAGTACTGTGTGGTGGTGTCCTATTAATAGTTAAGTGAGCAGGCTAGAAGTAAACTATCTGAATTTAAGTCTGTCACTTACATGTCATATCAATTTGGGTGGGTGAGGTAAACTCTCTGTACCTTAGTTTCTTCATTTTTAAAATGGAGTTGAAAATACCATGTGACCTAGAATACTGTCATGAAGTTTAAGTAAATGACATTGGTGATTAGCTTGCAGTGAAGATTTAATTACTATTAGTCACTATTATGAAATACCATGCAACCATTAAAAATATTACAGGTTAAAGGTTTAGTTTAGGATATGGCTTTTATTTAAAATACATTGTTAGGTTAAGAAAGTGAAAGACAAAATATCATGTAGACTGAAAAATTGCTAAATTAGAAGTATGTACACATGAGTACATTAAAGATGTATATAAAAATGCTAAAAGGATATACAATATTCTCACTACATATAATATTGTCACTAGTTGTCTCTCTACAGTATGATTACTGTATGATTATATATACAGTATTCTTTTCCCTAATTTGTTTAGCTCTATATATTCAAAATTTCCTATAATAATTATTATATTTGTATAAGAAAACAAGAATAAATTATTTCAAAAATTATTTCTGCCCCAGTATAAGCATTTTTGACCTCTGAAAATTTGGGGCTAGGAAGTTCCTGCATCATTTAATTGAACAATTTTCACAAATTAAATACTTTATTGCTGGAAAGGTCTGTATTTTAATTTGAACATCTTGAACATTGGGCAATACTTCAGCACACCTAACATTTTAGTTAGAAACATTATTTAAGTACTTAGATTAGTTTATATAATCTGAGTTTAAAGCAAAATAAACTCAAATGTATATTAGAAAAGCTAAATGTAAATAGAATCAGTGTGAAATTGACTTATTTAATGAAGCCAGGACATCATCAAAACACTGTTGATTGAGAGGAAACTTTTCGTCTGAAAGATCTGGATTTTTTCTAAATAGGATCAAAGGACAGGAATCTTTTCTATAGTTGTCATAAAGTTTTTTAATATGCATTGTCCTAATTAGCCAGAGGGATCCAGGAATTTCTCTGGAAATTTTAAAGAAAGCTTTTCATATCCCACCCCATCCCCATGGTGAATGTTGAGGACTCCTGGGCAAGAAATGAGCTCATCCCACTTTAATAGTACTTCTTGCTATTTTTTATTATAAAATAAGTGATTGAATTGTGATGTCTGTACCTCAAGAAATAAATTAGTAACTACTGCCTGCCTCAAATAAGAATGAATGCCTGAGATATTGACAAAGACTGCCTTTCCTTGAGCATCCTATTCAAGTCAATATGCCTTTCACAACTGGGAGTGATACAGCCATTATAATCTGCAGGGTGCTTTCAAATGAACACCCACTAAATTTGTTGGAATTAGAGAACCCAAATTAGAGTCTATGATATCCATTTTCTATGTTGCCAGGAAGATTTGTTTGGAACAGTCTCCTGAATTTTAAGTATTTTTAGAAAGAACATTCTTTTTTTTCCAACAAATCAATTTATAAGACCACAAAGCTTTGGAGAATTTTAAGAAATGACAAGCAGAACACAACTGAGAAATGACACTACCCAAGGAATGAATTTAGCAGAGACCTCAAGGATTCTCAACTATTGACCTCTAATGGAGGTCTGGGAGACAGAGAGGATAAACAAAGAGAAACTGGATGACCATAAATTTGTGAAAAATATCTTCTCATTTTGAAAATAATCAGTACACTCTCAAGCAAAGTACAGTTCTGGAACTGACCTAAGGTATTTCAACCTTTAAAAGCAACTGTACGTAGCTTTTTAATTACTCTACTTGGGTAAACAAAGCAAAATTAAAGCATAAAAATAAAAAATAAGCCATTAGGAGGTGAAAATTAAAGAAAGCAAAATTTTATGTGTGGCATAATTTAATGGTCCCTAAAAGTCCCTAAAAATATAGTATGACATTTGAAGGATCAAATCCCAGCCTGAGAACCAAATAATTCATTCATGACTTGCTATGTACTGGGAACTTCTTTAAACATTAGGAATTGAGGAGCAAACAGCTAATCTAAGTCCTTGTTTTCAAAAAAAATGGAGAAGACAAAGGAATAAATAAATTCTTTAACTTTAGCTATAACAAATACTATGAAGAAAACTAGGAATTTTAAAGATTTGCAATGATCTGTATTGTCATTTCTTTTTATAAACTATAGGATTAGGATCTAGTGTTCTCCAGCCTGCTTAATTGGAATCAGACCTAAAAATCTAGTCCAGGTGTATCCAAGAAAGCTTTTTGGAGATCATGATAGCTTCATATGCCTGCCATAAAAATTGTCACAAATTTAGTGTCTTAAAATGATATTTATTATTTCTCAGTCTTTGCATATTAGAAGTCTGGGTGAACTTGACTGGGTTCTCTTTGTAGGGTCTCATATATTAAAATCAAAGCTGTGCTTCTTACCGGGGGCTGTGGGAAAGTATCTGCTTCCAAGATCCTTCAAGCTGTGGACCAAGTTTTATTTTTGTGCTCATGTGGCTGACAGCCCCATTTCCTTGCTGACTGTCCACATCCTTTCTCATTCTTTCTCTGTGGCTCCAGCAAATTCGAGTTGAGTCCTGAGAATACTCTGTGGCTAAGGGGTCATGGGATTACATTTCTACCCAGATGATCCAGGATAATATCCCTTTTATAAGAGTCTATAACCTTAATTATATGTGTAGGGTCCCTTTTGCTATATAACTTAACATATTCACAACTTCCAAAGGACAGGACCTGAACATCTTTGGGAGTCATTCTGCCCACCAAAATAAAATAATATTTTTAAAAAATGACTTCCATTTATCTACCCTTAAAGAATCTGTACTTAATAAATATGGACTGTTCTTTTATTTCTAGGACATTCACTTGGCCAGGAGATTATATGATATGGCAGCTCAAACAAGTCCAGATGCTCACATACCTGTGTTCTTTGCCCTCATGAAACTGAAAACTGTGCATTTGTTCCAAGATATCTTCTTTTTTAATGTAAGTTTGTCTTAAACAGATCTCAAATCTCTCTTAAATAGATTTCAAATCTCTGAAAACACCAATGAGCAACTGTTGAGTGGTTGGATGGAAGGAATTGATTATTCTGAATGAAATGGGAGGCTTGCATTTTTTTTAAACAAAATCTTTCTTGCCTGCAGTTTACAACGAGATGGAAATGGATTAAATCAGACAACACCCATGGATCGTACTGGGATTTATTTGTGATTGGCCTCATTGTTGCTGTCCTAATCTTCTTGCTTAGAAGTTACTACATGTAGGATCTGGATCATAGGAAAATCTGCTCGCTCATGGGAGTCAGTTCACTTGGAGGTATCCTTGCTAAATAAAGAATCTCCACATCAAACCAAGAGTCTGCTGCAAATTTCCCCCACAGGGCTGTGATGGAAAATGGACAAAGTTTAGGACCTGTCCTCTCCAAAAACATTTCAGATTTTCTGCTGAATTGAATGGAGTGACCACTGAGCTGCTGCTGGGGATTAGTTACCTAAACTTCATTATAGACTGGCCATCTTGGTGCTCTAGTCCCGAGTTAAGAGTAAGGACCACCCATCTTCATGTGTTGTAACAACCTGTCCCCACTTAAGTGGACAAACAGGTTTCTTGGCTCCTACAACAAACTGGGGTAGAGACAAGGGAGTGTTTAGGGAGTACAGGAAAACAGATTCCTCAGAATTGTATAAAGAGAAAAATTACAAATAGACCCTACTTTGGGGAATGATCCTGTGAACCACATCATAGCCCTAAAGAGCAAAAGCTCCTTGTGGCATACTGTGCCAGCGGCCATCTTCCCCAGGGGCCTCCTATCAAAGCTCCTCCAATCGTCAACAGTAAATAAACACCATTTGGGGTCTGTCTAGACTGTTGGAATCCTGCTTTACCTGGGAATCCCCTTAGGAATTCCATAAGAGGGGTACCAGCCTCTTGGACAGGAACTAAACGGGAAAGGCAGATAAGACTCAGTTCTGGAGGGCAGGAGTGAACAAGGAAAGAGCATAAGTTTCATAACTTAGGACAAGCACCAGGCTTGAATCCCAGCTCTACAACTTTGTATCTATTCAACTGTTCTGAACCTCAATTTTCTGGTCTGTAAAATGGGAAGAATAAATTGGACAACACAATAAAGGGAGTAGCACATGAGCTGAATCTGGATGAGCTCCATAAATGATATTTTTAAAATTTTATTTTTTTAAATTTTATACATTTTTACATCATTTTTCATTTTTTCACAATGTATGCATTTTCATCTTGGTTATAGTTCCCCATACAATTCCCACCCCCCTTGTTTTTTTGGATGCTACTCCCTACCCCACGTCCTGTAGTTTGTCTCTGATTTATAGTTGCTTATTGATTTTGATTTTTACTTTATTATAATTAGTCTTTTTCCTGGTCCCTTACCTAAATGATAATTTTTAATACTCTTTTAAGCTCATGGCAAACTGGTTGGATATGGCAACAGCTGAGTTTGTGGTTTCTGTGTCCTGCAATTAGTTCTCCAGTCAAATTGCTAGGTGTTTTATGAGGAAAATCCTGCTTGCCCACTTAAAAAATTGAACCTAGGTACAGAAAAATTTTCATTAATAATGTCAGTCATAATGATAAAGTAAAATGCAATGGCAGGGAGTACTGGGAAGAGAACCTAACAATCTGGATGTGAGTGCCCCTTTCCTTCAGTAGCTCTATCTCTCTGGGCATAACTTCTCCAAACCTGTTTTTCTGCCACAAAAATAAAATTAATTTCAACCTCACTTGAGAATTATGAGGTTTAAATAAGTCTAATTGCAGAAGTGCTTTATAAATATTGCTTATACACATACTACCCACAGACACTTATCTGGCCGTGAACTAATCCAAGGCTGTCTGAGCCGAGTGTTTAGAATTTCCTGGGCACAGTCTCTGATTTACTAGAGACATTCAGGTCCAAAGGAAATGTAAAAGCCAAATTTACAAATGTGATAATAACAGACATCCAAGCTCCAGTTTAGGGCCTAATGCATAGACCGACTATGCAATTAAATCTCAGGTGTCTGGAATGTGAGCATCTCAGAGACGGCAGTAAGGGCAAAGGAGTGTGGAAAGCAAAGGAGATGAGTCCCGGTTCTAAGTGTGGATGGAAAATTAACTCCTTAAAAATAAAGCCTGTGAGAATGTTGCTGGCAGGCAAGAACAGAAGACTGGGTCTTGCTATATAGCATAGAATACTACCCGAAATACAGGAACAAGGGTAGCAGGAGCTCATGGATTTCCCATTTCATCTAACTGTTCCAAGTTGTAGGGTAAAGAAAATGTCAGGCTTTTCTATCCTCCCGCCATCAGGATAGATGATGGATCCTTGCAGTCCTGAATGCATGCCTGATGGCGGGCACCTGAAGTAGGGTGTGGGCATAGGTAGATGGGATTCACCTGGGCTGAGACTGGGCTTTTAAGGGTGGCGTCATGGGGACGGCCAGCAGAAGCCGAAGAGAAGCCGAGAGAGAAGGAAAGAGCAGAGAAGCAGAGAGAACGCCAGAGAGCCCAGATAGAGTAAGGACTTGCTGGAGGCTGGGAGGCCTGCCAGCCTCCCGGCCCCCCAGCCTCCCTGCCTGCCATATGCCTGGTAAACCCCAATAAAAGCCTGCAAAAGGCCACTGAGGACTCTGACTCCTCTTTTACCCGGTCTGCTGGATCAGAAAACCTGCACTGTGGCCTGTCCTGCCCCTACACAAGTAAATGTGAGTAAAGGCTTTGAAAGTATGAGCAATTTAGGATGGTTGAATCATTCACATGTCCCATTCTGGGCCTCTTCTCTGGAGCCACCCCTTATAGCAGTTCCTACCACCTCCTTCTGCCATCTGGGCAGTTCCTACCTTCTGGCACTGGGTAGCTTTGTGATGACTGACCAAGGGAGAAAGAGCTGCTTGTAAGCAACCCATCTTTTCTTATCTGACTATGACAACCCCATCCCTTCCATGCTCCCACAAAGCCCCTATTCTTTCTCCTAATTCTGATAACCTTTTATAAAAACTGATAACCTTTGGAATATAACACAACTTTCTAAAAGTCTATTTTTTTACTCTTTCATCCTCTACAATTTCTTCCCTAATCTTCTATTAAAGTGGAGTGGCTATTCAAGTCAATACATTTTTTTTAAGTCAAGTGAAGTAAATAATTTTTTCTTTCTAAAGCAGGGTTTCACAGTCATTTGATGAGGAACTTGCTTCTGGAATTCTGTGTTTTTCCCCAATCTAAAACAAAGCATTTTTTTAAACAGATTTGTGGTTGTGAGTGACTGAGGAGAAAGTCCTGAGGGAAGAAGGGGCAGGTGGCACTTCTTGCTGCCTTTCCTTCCCTGGGAATTCAGAAGCTATAGAGAAGAGGGTTTGGGGAGACTGACAGGAGGAGCAAGGAACACCTGGAACTCCCCACTAAGCTCCACCCTCTCCGGTCTATTTGTTTTCTTATTCCATCTTCATGATGAAACTGGGAGGTGGATGTAACTACCCTTATTTAATACAGGAGGAAAGTGAGACTAAGAGAACTTGGTAACCTGTTTAGAAAAAAATAGGAGCAAAGGCTGCAAGGGCTCATAAATTTTCCATTTCAACTAATTGTGTAAGTAATGAATATGATTGTGGAAATAATGAATTTAGAATTTGAGTACTGCTCTGACTTCAAAATGTTTTCTTTACTCAATATTACTGGCCAGTTATATTTAGCAACTTAACGATTTATTTTAACATAGTGATTTAAAACAACAATCATTTAATTATATCTCAGGAATCAGGCAGGGTGTGGCTGTATGATTCTTCTGTCCCCAGGGTATGGATAGAGGTTCATATTCTTCTATAGTGCTTTCAAGACTTTTAGAAGGCTTGGCTTTAGCTATGAATATTGACAATAACGTCTACATATCACATGTGACCCCTTCGACATGATGGACACAGTTGTGGTACTTAATAGACAGAAGTTCAGGGCTTCTGAAGAGCGTGTTCAGAGACCCAGGCAGAAGTCATTGCTACTGGGAATAGGCCTGGGTTCTGCTGCCTGTCACTTCAAAACAACCAATGAGCAGAGATAGGAGTTGAATCAATAAGCAGTGCATTTATTTAGATAGCTGGCCAGCGATCAGAGAATGGTGGGTAAATCACCTAGAAGAAACCATTCTCCATGGTCATTGGTCTGAGAGAATGGAGGGACCATTCTGCCATCTCATCTGGAGCTGACCTTTTTATGAGTTAAACAAAAATAGTCATAAGCAAACAGCCCATCAGAGCAGCCCATCATAGTTGATTTTGTTGTTCTTGGTATTTGTCATGTTCAACACCCAGAATTTGTTATCAGCTTCTCAGTAATCTTGACATTGGTACACTTATGATGTCAATGTCTGGCACTCATTTGGTTATCATTGGGACAGCAATTTCAGTTTTAAAGCCAGAGTTTTAGGTTAAAGAAAACAGATCATTAGTCAGATAGTGTGTCCTTGCAGCCTATGCTGGGTGTGTATGCACAGACTCCTACACTACAATAGTTATCAACATGTCTCCTAAGACCTACCTCAGAAGTTCCAGAATATCACTTCTGCCACATTCCATTAGTTAAGCATCAGGCTCCACCACCCAATAAGAGGAGTTGATAAGAATCTGCACCATATTTAACCTACTGCATATAAACTGTTTAAAAATCTATCGTGGGTTACATATTCCAGCACAGAAATTGGCAGAAGAAAAATGCAGCCTTGAAATTGAGTTGCTTTTCTTGGAAGGCAAGAATTGGACAGATTAATCAGCTCCATGCCTGGCCCCCTCTTCTCATCTTTCAGATTGAAGAAATCTAGGTGTCTGATGATTCTTAGAGGAAGAAAAAAAATAACCTCTCTTCCTCAACAGGCACAGGTGCACACATACCTTTAAAGAATCTCAACTCTTTCTCTGTTTGGACTCAAGTGATGCGCACTAAGAGGTACGTAGGTCCAGGATGCTATCCCCTGGAGCACCATAGGAGCAGGCTCCATCCACCCTGTGTGTCAAGACTCGCACCTGCCATGCACTCCAGCTAACAGGAGACGTAGCTCAGATCCTCTGCCCTCTGGCCCAACTTCATTCATCTTCCCTTCCCAAACCTACCCCTAAAAGACCATCTCCTCTGCCTCATCCTGTGGAACTAAAGCCCTCCTGTTGAGATGTGGCATGGGATGTTATCAGTATTCCCTGTTCTATAGTCCTTATAACAGATAGGGGGGTGTAAAGGCAGGAATGGGGACAGTGCAGTTTTTCTGATCCCATGCAGACCGGGTGAAGGAGTCCTAGAGAGTCCTCAGTGGGTTTTTGCAGGTCTTTTATTGTGATTACCAGGTACACAGCAGGCAGGGGTGCTGGGGGGGCCAGGAAGCTGGCAGGCCTCCCAGCCCCCAGCAAGTCTTCACTCTGGGCTCTCCGGCCTTCTCTGCTTCTCTCTCAGCTTCTGTTAGTTCTCAGCTTCTTGGCTTCTGCTGGCGTCCCTGTGACGCCGCCCTTAAAAGCCCAGTCTTGGCCTCCCCGGTGGCGCAGCGGTTGAGCGCTGGGTTGCGAAGCTGCCCGCGGCCTCTGCGGCGCCGGTTCGATCCCCGGCTGCTCCCCGGCCACCGGCGGAGGATCCCACATGGCGCGCAGACCTCTCCTGCCGCCCGCTGCTCCCCTCAGCAGTGTACTTCGGTCCTTCTGCCTGCTCTGCTCCCCGCTCTGGCTCTGGTGAATTCTCTCACCCCCCACTACCCCGCGCTTCTGACTGTACCCAGTGCTTGTATAAATAAATAAACAAAACAAATAAATAAATAAATAAATAAATCTTAAAAAAAAAAAAAAAAAAAAAAAAAAAAGCCCAGTCTTA